GTACAGTGGGTGGGGAGATCAGCAAATACTTTGTCAGATATGTTAGCTAAGCAAGGGGTAAATAGGGAAGAATTATTTTGGGCTCAGTTGTGATTCTTGTTTTTCTTTCCTAGTTTACTTGTAAGATTCAAGGAGGGGCTGCAGCTCGCGCCTCTCGCTGGGATGATGTATGAACTCACTCTAAATTTGCTTCTGAATCAATAAATTTATTATTATTCATCAAAAAAAAGACCTTTCCAGTATTGATCAAAAAAAAAAAAAAAGACCTTTCCAGAAGAGGTAATGGCAGCCATGAAAGAACTTAGTGAGACTAAAGCCCTGAGACTAGATGGCTTCTTAATAGAGTTATAAGGGCTATTGGAACATTTTCTTTTCTTGCCTATCTCTTTCTTTTTTCTTTACAATGAATCTTATTTAGCAAATGTAATCTCTTCTGTCAAGAATGTTTGTGGAGGGAAGTTAGATATATAGTAGGTCCTTAACTGCAAACAAATGCACAGACACCTGAATTAGAAAGTGGTATCCCTGGGGTAGTTCACAAACTAGATATGGAGAATGAATGTGACCATATAAATTGTGGTTCCCTCAACTATATGCTAGTTAGGTTGAGATTTCATCTGAAGTGGAGACTACGAATTCTGGCTTGCATTTCTGACAAGCATGACAACGCAGGTTCAGTCTGATAGCGGCCACTGTGTCTAGAAAATATGCCAAAGGTCAGGTCTGAATCCAGTCTACCCCTCCCAAGATCCCAGATAGCTGGAATCAACACTGGGTAATGGCCTTATTTCCTGTTGCAAGTTCATGGTAGTTGGTAATTGTGGATGAATTTCATATGAATAATTCCAAGATCTCTCCAGGGAGGCTCATACAAGATAATATTCCATGAATATCTCTACTCATCAAAATGGTGGAATCCCATAGTGGACTAATGTGGAAAGCATAGGAGGTAGGGTATAATGCTTCTCAGTTAATAACAGAACTTGAAGCATTGAACAACAATACAACTTCAATATCAAGGCTGGTCCAGGAACAACTGTTATTCTGTTAAAGTATAATGCCAAAAAACAACAGCAATAACAGCGCAATAATAATATTATACAGAAACCAGGAAAAAACAAGAGGTTCTTTTAATTAAGATTGGTGAATCTAATATATAGGTGAAGCATCACTTCAAAGTTCTTCAATAGCAGTTGAATATGAGATATAGTTATGGGATTTCATAATTTTATAAAAAAACATGAGGATACCACTCTCCGCAATTTTCGCAAGTTTGGATTTCTACGTAAAGGCCCGTATCCAAGAAACCTTGGAATCTTCCTCTTCAAAAAACGGAGCACATTAAATAATACATAGCCATATACTATGCTTCTAATTAAGAACCAAAGAAACCATTGGATATCATCCCCCTTCCTGGATTTGAAATTTATTTCTGCATCAGACTGCCATTTCAGGTACCATGTTGAGGCAGTAGCTTGATCAACATCCTCTGGCCATGCCATCCCCAAATTCATTCTTACCTGGTATAGAATTCCAGATAAAGCAGTCATCACATAAAAATTGCAGTTCTCTAATCAAAGCATTATACATTTCTACTCTTTAGAGTAGAAAAAGGTAAATAAATATCCATGATGAAAAAGGTCTGGACATCCTTCTTACCGGAAAAGGGATAATAAACTCAACGATAGGAAATATAATCATCATCATTATATCATCATTGATATTCTTGATCTTCTCAAAAACCCATCTTTTCACATGCTGTACAACTCCAGATTTCCATAAACCAACCAGACATTGACGAGAAAGCCTCATTGCTAAGAAAAACTGTTGACGGATATCCAGCTCTGACAATGGGATATGCATAAGCTGAACAGCAGTTGGAATACCAGAAGCTAACATTTTGAGATAGAGCCCATCAAACCCTCCAAAATCTTCAAATAGCATTTCAAATTCCTGCAAGTAGTAAAATCAGAAGCTGGCCAAAGAAATTATGCATGTAAGAAATGAACAAGTTTCCCTAGAAACAAATATAACCTGGATATCAACATAATATTCCTTGTCGTCACCCTTGAGAGCAATATACATTGCAGCCCAGTCATGCCTGATGCGAACATTCTCCACAAGCTTCTTGGAAACAGCATAAGGAACAGCAATTGAATCCATTTCCCAACGATTTTTTTCTTCATTGTACCATGTTTTAGCCACCACCCTATCTCGGTCCAAAAGGATGCGCTCCTATCAGGAAAATATTTACATGGATCATTATATGCGATCAAAAGATGACACAAGGCACTGCTAACATGATAACCTACTGAGAGCTTTCATCTGCTATATATAATATAACAGGTAGAGTACATAAAAATTCACATGATAAGGACCAGCTTCACACAAGGATGACATTTAAGAATCAGGAAGGTTCATGGAAGACAAACATATGCTAAGGGAAGTTAAAGAGTTAATTAAGGAGTTGAGAACAAGTATCAAGTGGTTACCTCAATCTGCTAATAGCCTAGCATATGGGCTGGCAAAACAGGGAGTAGCAAGAGAGCAGAGATTTTGGTGTACAGTACCTCAAGGGAGACTTGTAATTCACAATCTTAGTGGCGGTTAGCAGAGGCTAGCTACCCACACACAATTTTCTCTGTATTTATTTTCCCCTCACAATTAATCAAATTTTTAACAGTTACTGATCAAAAGGAAAATCTAGACAGATCTTGAAACTAGCTAAATAGATAAAATATTAAATAGTGTTTTAAGTGAAGTTGGCATTTCAACAAAGACCAGATGTTGAAGAAAAACAGTTCTCATACTAAGACCATAAAAAAAAAAAAAAAAAAAAAAAATCATACTAGGATAGGACTTAAACTAGAATGGTACTGGAGTCAAATAAAATGAACAACATTACTATAA